GCCTGCCTCAAGAAACATTTCAGTTCTACTAAGTACCTTCATTATGTGTGTGGTGAAACCCTGAAAAGTGGCAGGAGACTCACTTGCCTCTCAGTTTTGCTTTTCTGAGATTTTTGCTTTATGGGGTGTATTTAACCTGCACTAGGGATTTTGCTTTGGAAAACAGCTATGTCTTCTATACCCAACTCCAGTCTAGTGCATAACAGCTTCCCCACTTGTCCAGAGGGTAAAGGTTTGTGTGTGTGGCTGTCAGGGAGACACACTGACTAGACTTGTGCTTCTTAGACTTCAAAACCCACCCCACACTGACACACTTCCTCCAATAAGGCCACACCTCCTAATAGTGTCCCTCTCGCTGAGCCAAGCATTCTAACACCTGAGTCTATGGGGCCCACACCTATTCAGATTACCACCCCAAGTCCATTTATTTCATACAAACACATGAGTCTATGGGGGCTGTTCCTATTCAGACTACCACCCCAAGTTCATTCATTTCATACAAACTTTAAAAAAGAAGTTTGTGTCTGTTTAAATGTTGGTGAGATTCTTTTTTCTCCTTTTAATTTAGTATTATTTGTATTTTGAAAAACTTTGCCTTTTCTGAGCTTGGCAAAGGCGCTGATTATTAAGGTTAGTTTCTCTTTAGTTCTCTGATGGATCTGGGTGTGAGGTAGGGCTTACCACTGTTTCTTACCAACACATTCCTTTCTCCACTGAATGATTTCATACCTTTGTTCTGTCATAGTTTTCATTTCTCTAGGTCACATGCCCAGGAGAGAAGTAGTTGAGTCACAAGGTAATTGTATTTTAAATTTTTAAAATACATTCAAATTGTTTGCTAGATTAGTTGGCCATTTTAGATTTCCTCCAATAATGCTTAAGGAATCTACTTCCTCCATGTTAGCACTTTGTTTTAGCTATGCTGATAGGTGCTGCTGTGGTCTGGATGTGGTTTGAGTATGCCCCCCAGAGCCTATATGTTGACTTTAATCTCCACTGTAAGACAGTCAGTCATCAGTGGAGACTTGATTCTTACCATGGTGTTCAGAGGCAGGAGCTTCAGTGGGTAAGTAGGGATAGAGGAATCTCTCAGATTGGAACCCTGACCAAGTAAGAGTAGAGGCCACACAGACATACTCTCCCCATCTCTTGCCATGTGATGCCCTATGACACCTTGGACTTCAGCTAGCAAAAGGCTAGAGAAATGGCTCAGTGGTTACAAGCACTGGCTGCTCTTCCAGAGTACTGGAGTTTGGTTTCCAACACCTACAAGGCAGTTCACAACCATTCAGGGAATCCTATGCCTTCTGGCCTCCATGGGTACAGATACACATGTGGTCATACATACAATCAAACACCTATACAAACAAAGTAATAAAAATAAAAAGGAGCTGGGTGGAGTTGGCTCACACCTTTAATTCCAGCACTTGGGAAACTGAAGCAGGTGGATCTCAGTGAGTTTGAGGCCAGCCTGGTCTACAAAACTAGTTCCAGGTCTGTTACACAGAGAAACCCCATCTCAAAAAACCAGATAGCTAAATAGCCAGCCAGCCAGATGAACATTTTAGGTTGTTTTTTTTTTGTTTTTTTTTTTTTTTTTTATG